AAAGGAGTGGACAAAGGTTTCGTCTGTGTAGTGAGGTCTACACGTCTGATATAAATAAAGGAGTGGACAAAGGTTTAGTGTAGTGAGGTCTACACGTCTGATATAAATAAAGGAGTGGACAAAGTTTTAGTCTGTATAGTGAGGTCTACACGTCTGATATAAATAAAGGAGTGGACAAAGTTTTAGTCTGTGTAGTGAGGTCTACACGCCTGGTATAAATAAAGGAGTGGACAAAGGTTTAGTGTAGTGAGGTCTACACGTCTGATATAAATAAAGGAGTGGACAAAGGTTTAATCTGTGTAGTGAGGTCTACACGTCTGATATAAATAAAGTGAACCAAGTAACGAGTCTATAAATTCTTCAAATTCAATACATTCTACTCTATTTAAAACACATCTAAAATAACATACTATGACGTCAGATCAGTATTACTTACCTCTGGTTTTCCGTACAAAAATACCGGTAAATCTTGACCAATCCAAGAAAAATGAAACAGGTTTCTCAGCATGAATAAGCCCACTGTTGCTAGTACTGGCATTCTATTTATCAAATCAAAGGAAAATGAATCACTTTGTTTGTCTTAAGTTTCATTTATAACATTAAAACCTTTATAAAAAAAATTACAAAGATTTTGTTACAATGTAAATATATACTACAAACGGGTATCGAAACGCTTAACAACATTGAAAAGGTTGACTGATAGTAAATATATAAACAGTTCATAACTTCAAGATCCAAACATAAAAAAAATACATAAAATCGTTATGAAAACGTGTTACATAAGTTGTTCTTTATTGTCTGTTAACATATCATAAGTGTCTCGTTTTTACCACCCAACGAGCTGTTACAGAGTATCGTTTGTTTGTTTTGAATTTTGCGCAAAGCTATCTGCGCTGGTAGGGTTGTCGTCACATTATAGAATATTGTATTCACTGTTTTAAATATATTACTTTCAAAAATATTTAGCCCTGGTCTATTTAGGCCTAGTTAGTTTTGATCAGAAGTTCATCTTTCGAGGTAATAAAAATTAAATAAAGTTCTTGATATTTAAATAATGAGTCTGAATACCACTATGATAAGTATATTTATCAGTAGGTTATATCGTTTTGGGATTATTCCAAATAACTTACCCAAATCCGAATATTAAAAAGGGAATACCGAATCTTTCCGCAGAGTGGCGCTGGTGCAACACTATAACCACAGCGATGACAGCTGTCCATATCCTGGAGGCCAACTGTCCATAGGTTATCCAGGCAGTCAGAAGGTTGTTAAACCATTTTGAGTTGCTAGGAAAAGTTACCCAGAACAAAACTCCTGAACCAAGAATAACCTGTTAATTAATTAGAATCATAAGTACAAGAACGAAAAATTATAATTATTTTTTAAACACAGCAAAACGAACACTTTTCTCGTTCTGTAGCAGTTACTACACTACAACAAGGAAATACATCGTCATTGGTATTATTCTTAAAATGTCCTTTGAAAGATGAAATAGATTATGACAAAATGTCAGAAGCCAATAACAACCTGGTGGCAGTGTCTACAACTAGAAAATGGTGCATAGTATTACCCAGTGCAGGGATTAAAGCTGGGACAACTCTCAACCTATTTTTGGAAACCTATACAGTATTGACAGCAAATTGTGAGATAGGGTTAAGCTCCTGAACGGTCAAAATATAATTTGAAACATTTTTATCTGAGAAATTGACAATTAACTGTTACTTATGTGTCGAACATCTTACTTCCAGTTCGAGTACGTTTATTATAATCAACAAGAAACGGAAACTAACGGGTAACCACAATCTTATGTTTCTGTTTAAGATGATTACAAAACCAGTTTTTGCCAGAGTAAATTACTAAATAGTCCATCTTATCATTAAAAGGACACGAGTCGCCCTCTAGCCTTTGTTATTTAAACCATACATGGTAAGAAAACAATTTGTTTTTTTTATTTCAACTATGTGATGAAATTATCATCCATTTAGACGACATTTTATTTATACACGATAAGAATACAATCTAACTGTTTTTAAAAACACCGGTTTCATTTTAATTTCATTAAAATTTCATTTTAATCGTATGTGATAATATCATCCAATTTCATCTTAACGATATGTGATGAACACACAATCTAGGTGTTGCTTTTTCATTATAAGTTCTAAGAACACCAGCTAGTTGATGTTATTTTAATGCTACGTAGTAAAAACACCAGCGAATTTTGTTTTTTTTAATGTTACGTGGTAAAAACACCGGCTAATTGTTGTTATTTTAATGTTACGTGATAAGCACACCAGTTAGTTGTTATTTTAATGCTACGTAGTAAAAACACCAGCTAATTGTTATTTTAACGTTACGTGGTAAAAACACCGGCTAATTGTTGTTATATTAATGTTACGTGATAAGAACACTAGTTAGTTGTTGTTATTTTGATGTTACGTGATAAGAACACCAGTTAGTTGTTGTTATTTTAATGTTACGTGATAAGAACACCAGTTGTTGTTATTTTGATGTTACGTGATAAGAACACCAGTTAGTTGTTGTTATTTTAATGTTACGTGATAAGAACACCAGTTAGTTGTTGTTGCTTTAATGTTACGTGATAAGAACACCAGTTAGTTGTTGTTATTTTGATGTTACGTGATAAGAACACCAGTTAGTTGTTGTTATTTTAATGTTACGTGATAAGAACACCAGTTAGTTGTTGTTGTTTTAATGTTACGTGATAAGAACACCAGTTAGTTGTTGTTGCTTTAATGTTACGTGATAAGAACACCAGTTATTTGTTGTTATTTTGATGTTACGTGATAAGAACACCAGTTAGTTGTTGTTATTTTAATGTTACGTGATAAGAACACCAGTTAGTTGTTGTTGTTTTAATGTTACGTGATAAGAACACCAGTTAGTTGTTGTTGCTTTAATGTTACGTGATAAGAACACCAGTTAGTTGTTGTTATTTTGATGTTACGTGATAAGAACACCAGTTAGTTGTTGTTATTTTAATGTTGCATGATAAGAACACCAGTTAGTTGTTGTTGTTTTAATGTTACGTGATAAAAACACCAGTTAGTTGTTGTTATTTTAATGTTACGTGATAAGATTAAAACAAACAACTCAGGTGTGATTGTAGGACATCTGGTAACGAACAGAAAGTAGACGAACCTGACTAACTACCAAGTAAAAAACGTTCGTGTGAGGTTGTTTCCTCCATCGACTTCCAGCCAGAAGAACCACGATCACACAAGTCTACAAATAAGAAATAAATACTTTAATTGTCGATTTAGCCACCAGGGGAAGTTCTCACTGTTGTGAAATATCGTTAGATTAGATCTGGAGGTAATCTGCATTGACAAGTGAACGGTTATCAAATACAGTCACATAAAGTAAACCTTTCATAATCAGAAATTAAATAATTAAAATTAACTCTCATCCAAAAGAGGGCGATTTTCTAAACCAAGTGAAACGCTATAAAACGGTCTCTAGCTATGACATTATACCATTCGATAAAATACCCATATCTGTTTAGAATCTTTACATGCTAACCCTAAAACTGTTTTATACAATATTGAGATAATGAGTAGAAAAATAAGAAGCGGAAAGTATAAATATAAGTTTCACGATTTTTTTTATTTTTGTTGATTTTGTTTGTAGTTAAGCACAAAGCTACTCAAAGTTCGCCCCGAACCTTATACAATGTCCAGTAAAATATAATAAACTAGATGGCGTTTCATGTCTCTGGCTGACGAAATAATTATAACAGATAAATGTTTAAGTTTGAGCTTAATTGTCATGGTGAACAGAATAACTCTAGAGTTAACAGTAGAGTCGTAAAGGCCTCATCGACTTTTTAAACACGTGTTTTTGAATTATTTATTGATTAAGTTGCTTGTTAGTCCTAACAACACGCGAGTCAAACAAAACTTGTAAACAAAGATACCACCTATTGCAATCAGTCCCAATAATTAATGCGGGATTTCCCGCGTATTTTACATATATATATATATATAATTAGATATTTCACCAAGTCTGTTTCATTTATTTTGATACTGAGAAAAACATAAGAATTTCTGAAATTGATTGCAATATGTGGGCTCCGATTTAGCGAATACGTTAAGAGTTAAGAATCACTGTTTTGATCAGCTTTGGTCTTCAAGTGTCGTTTCTCTTTCTCATTACCTAGCGGACTAATTCTGATACATGACCCCTCAGTGGCACAGCGATAATTCTGCGGACATATAATGCTAAAATCAGGTTTCGATACCCGTGACGGGCACAGCACTGGTAATCCATTGTGTAGCTTTGTGGTTAACTACAAAAACGAAACTCGATAAACATATATATATATATATATGGAGAGCCAGAGTTCGTCTGTTACATCAAAACAACAGCAATCTTGTTATATATATATATAGAATTAATTAATTAACTAAAAACGTGTATCCTTCCGTGCCTAAGCGGTTCGTCTCGGGACTTATAACGCTAAACGTTTGGAAATTTTTGGTTTGAATTTAGCAGTGAAAGACTAGAGGGAAGGCAACTAGTCATCACCACCCACCGCCAACTCTTGGGCTACTCTTTTACCAACGAATAGTGGGATTGACCGTCACATTATAACGCTCACACCGCTGAAAGGGCGAGCATGTTTGGTGGGTGTCAAACGCCCTAACCACCTGGCCATCACGGGCCTTATCACACAAAAAAGTGGATTTCGATACTCGCGGTGAACAGAGCACAGATTTTTGAGTTTGTTTGAAGTTAAGCATAAAACTATACAATGGGCTATCTATGCTCTGCCCACCACGGATATCGAGAAACCCGGTGTCTAGCGTTGTAAGTCCGCAGACATGCCGCTGTGCCATTGGGGAGGGGGGGATTCACTGCACAATAAGAAAACTTGGCCATTTCAGGAAATCACAAAAGAAATAGTAAATAGGATCAAACGTAATTTACTTGGAATTAATAAAATCTATGAGCAACTATGAGTCCTTACCGATGCTAACAGACTGACGACGGAAGACCATTGCATTGTTTCTCTTAACTTTAATATGTACCCAGTCAACCAATACACGTCCAAGGTGGTTACTACGGCAGCGATGTACATAACCGGAATGGATAAGGCAGTACACAGGATTATGGCCGATGACAGCTGTTGGATGAATAAGAATTTTTTATAGTATTTTAAGATGCCTTTTACACTCACATTTATCCTACATTTATAATTCACAAGAATAAATTAGTGCTACATATTTCTTGAAGTTTCTATAGAAATTGAGGTTCATTATATGAGTAACATTAGACATTAGAATAACACTGCATCACTATACGAGGCCTATCATTTCCAACACTTTACTGGCTTTCCCTGTTTTCTCTTGCCTTTTCCTCGATTCCACAGACTTCTGTCATCTCCTTAATTTCCATTTTCGTTCTCGAAAGGCGACACTCCAACAGTCATCTCAATATTCTTATTTCCGTTCTTATCAACAAGCCTGAAGCCTTCTTCTTCAGGGTCTAGGCCTCTAACAACGGTGTGATTCTTCTCCGTATGTATTTCGCAAAGTTTGGCCTTTAAATTTATCATCTACTCTAAATAAAATCTATCTTTTAATAAGAGGAAATAAATAAAATCTCTCCTTTTTTAAATTGTTTAGTTGCATTATAACTAACTCCTTATTTAAGTTATTCTCACATCGATCAATAAGAGCCTGATATTCAACAGATAAATATAAGCTACTTGCAAAATGATATCAACGTAAAGCTGTGAAAACCAAGTTAACTTCTTTGAGTTTTCTTTGTGTCAAACCTTTGAGGGACAAAATGAGATACGATACAGTCTCTTATTTTTCTTTTAGCGAGAATTCAAAGGAAGAAGAACGTATATCAATCTGAAAATTTTACGACTATAAACCATGAAATAAACTATCAGCTAAGCCTTTTTTTTGTATCGTTAACTGACGTCACCAGGTTAGTTTTTAGGTTTAGTCACTAAATTTATTGTTCAGTATTAAAAAAATATTTCTGAATGTGTTTACGACAGATTATGTAAGGTTCGATACTTAAACATTTAATGAAGTTAGAAACCAAATTAATACAAAATTTAAAAAATAGTTATAAACAAGCCTCAATTT